CAACTGCTGGCCAATGGCCAGAATTACTGCCACATTCCCTGGAAATGATGGACATGTCAGGAAGGTTGAGTTGAAGATAACTGACCAAGGAAATCCAAAGACCTTCCTGAGACCTGTAGGAGAAGTTGTTCTACTTTTACCTAAGGACTGAAGTAAAACCTGAGTTTGTATTCCCATGTTCTTAGTGACCTCACATAGGTCAGGCGGGGAGTGTGTTGCCTCTAAGGCATTTGTTTAGCTAATTATTTGATGAAGTTGTTGTTATCTATTTTGGCGAAGGGCCAGGTTAATAATTACATATGTAAAAGGAAATGATAACGCTAAATCTATTTACCGATTGGCACCGGGTGATGACGTCACTTCCGGTTTTAGCGATTTCACGCTAGTAAGAAAGATGGCAGACGTAAGGCTCTTGTTCGCGGCATGTGTATTCATTTTCATCTGTTAGGAAACGTGATAGAAGCAATGCCGTAAGTTATGATATGTGTCAATTGACATAGTATAGTTAACATTTGCTATGATTGTTTTAAAAAGAGTTAGATGTGACGTTGAGGAAGTTTATTTACAGTTGTGCATAAGCTAGCTGATACTATGCATTTGAATGTGTGTTGAAGTGTACCACCATTTATAGTATAGATATTGGTTAAATAAGCATAACTGACAGTGTTTATTGTATTGTTTATTTGCAGTTTTTACCGTGATGTTATAGAAGAGTGGACAGTAAATGTTTTTGATCTTGCTACAACCTCTTCATTGACTACGGTTTAACTCGGTGTTAAAGTCAGAGTATCAACACGCTGCACAAGAACACTAAACACACACACACACACACATTGATTTTCTTCATGTTTTGATTATTGCTATGGCCAGCTGCACGGCTGGCACCAGAGACGTCACGGTTTGATGTCCCAGTGTAGAATGGGGTTAGCCCAAACCAGATATAATGTACAGGCCTGTTTGGTTCGGGGTCTTTCATCTTTCATCTGCCTGCGTGCAGTTTGGAGGTGTAAGATGCCCGAGTGTGTAATGTTAATTTTTACCTGTATTCATGGAATAAATCAGCACTGTTTTGTAGTTACTTGGACTGCCTCGTCTCTCAGAGTCTGTACGGTAAAAAGTACCGGGTACAACAGAGCTACCCCAATTGGCTATAAGTAAGCAGCTACAGTAGTTTTCCTTTCAGCAAACAGCAAATGTACCACTGAACATTTCCACAGTGTGAACTCTTCCTCCAGCAGCCAGGCAGACAGAATGTCAAACTTTGGTTCAATTTGAGTTCACTTTCAT